CAGTGCCCATAGTGGCCCAACAACTGCATATGAGAGACATAAAGGCCTTCTTTCCTGGAGGAAGGGCAGTCATTCGCTTGCAGGAGCCTGCGCTGTAATTGCCAGTCTGACTCCCAAGATTGAATACAGACAAAGATTACTCCCAGACAAAAGGTGCCAAAACAAAACACTCTTGCTGCCCATGGAATGCCAACAGTGGCCCCTCAACTGCACATGAGAGACCAGGGCTTTCTTTCCTGGGTGGAAGCGCTGTTGTTTGCTTTTCAGAGCCCTGCACTGAACTTGCCGATGTGACTCCGAAAACTGAATATGGACAAAGATTCTACCCAGACAAAAGGTGGCAGGACAGAAAGCTCTTGCTGCCCAAGGAGTGCCAAGGGTGGCCAACCAACTGCACCTGAAACCCAAAGGTTACAGGCTTTCTTTCCTGGGGGAAAGGTCATGACATCACAAAGGGGCAATGGCAGATGGGGGGGCTCCACTGTGACATTCTGTGACGTTGGTTCTTTGGTTTCCAGGGGCTGTTCTGGAATGGAGAGGACAGGCCGTGACATCACAAAGGGACCAATGGCACATGGGTTGGGCTGCACTCTGGGGTGTGAGGCATTGGTTTTTTGGTTGCCAGGGGCCGTTCTGGAATGGAGATGGTAGGCTATGACATCACAAAGGGGACCATGGCACATGGTTGAGGCTTCACTTTGGGGTTGTAGGGTGTGGATTCTTTGGTTGCCAAGGGCTATTCCGGAACAGAGAGGATAGGCTGTGACATCACAAAAGGGTCTCAAGCACATGGGTTGGTGTAGTGGGTTGACCCTGGTTGGATTTCAAACACCCACTAAAAGCCACTACCTCCCTCTGTAACTCCACAGAGGAGAGAAAAAAAAACCAGCTGAGGATTCCTGAGTAGAGATAAGGGTGGGGAGAAAGTCACTTACTAATGGGCAAAACAGACTCAAAATAGGGATAGTATTTAAATTTATTACTAACAGGATAAAAACCGAAGAGTGAGAAATAAAAGAGTCTTAAAAACACCTTCCCCCCACCCCTCCTTCCTTCTCAGCTCTCCCTCCTCCCCCCAGCGGTGCAGGGGGACGGCAATGGGGGTTACAGTCAGTTGTTGTTTTTGTCACTGCTCAGGGAGAGGAGTTGGATCCTTCCCAGCTCCTGTGGGCTCCCTCCCATGGGAGACAGTCCTGGATGGACCTCTCCAGTGAGTCCATCCCTCGGGCAGCAGCTCTTCCCACCCTGCTGTCCCGTGGGTCCCTCCTCCATGGGGTCAGTCCTTCAGGGATGAGTTGACCTGGCCTGGGTCCCCCACAGGGGCCACGAGTCCTGCCCGGGAAAAACCTGCTCCAGCCTGGGCTTCCCTCTGCATGGGCTGCAGGTCCCTGCCAGGACCTGCTCCATCCTGGGCCTGCCCCGGGGTCACAGCCTCCTTCCTGCATCCCCCTGATCCAGCCTGGGAGCCTCCAGGGGCTGTAGTGGAGTCTCTGCACCCCAATGCTCCCCCAGGGGCTGTGGGGCCTCAGCTCTGGTGCCTGGAGCACCTCCTGCCCCTCCTTCTGCACTGCCCTTAGGGTCTGCATTGCTGTTCCCATGTTCTCACTCCGCTCTTCCCTGGCTGCAATTCCTTCTGGCCCTAAATCTGTTATCCCAGAGCTGTTCCTGTTGCTCCTGATGGGCTCGGCCTTGACCAGCAAGTCCGTCCTGGAGCAGCTGGCATTGGCTCCACGGGGCAGGGGAAGCTTCTGGCAGCTTCCAACAGAAGCCACCCCTGGAGCCCCCCCGCTACCAAAACCCACCCACAGAAACCCACTCCACCCAGTGCCTTCCACTTGCCCCAGGATGGTCCCAGTTCCCATCAGTGTGATCCCAGTCACTCCCAGTTGATGCCAGTTGCCTCCAGCATGCACTCTGTCACTCCCAGTTACTCCCAGTTGCTTCCAACATGATCCCAGTTGCTCCAAGAATGTTCCCAGTTGACTTCCTGCATGGCCCCACTGTCTCCCAATTCCCCCCTGCGTAGTTCCAGTCAATCCCAGTTTGATCCTGGTCCCTTACAGTCACTCCCACTATGATCCCAGTCACTCCCAGTCAATCCCAATAGGATCCAGTTTCCCCCAAGGTGGTCCCAGTTGCTCCCAGCCCCCTCCAGGATGGTTCCTTTCCCTCTCAGGGACTCCCAGTCTGAGTCCAGGATGGCCCCAGGTACTTTCAGGCACTGCCTGGACGATGTCATTTGTCCCCTGCATGCTCCCAGTTGCTCCCAGTATGAGTCCAGTCACCCCCAGTAAGATCCTAGAAACTTCCAGACACTTCCAGTATGAAGCCAGTTTGATCCCACTCATCCCCAGTATGGCTGCAGTCCCTCCCACACACTCCCAGTATTATTGCAGTCACTCCCAGTAAGCCCCATCAGGACCCCAGCAGGGGCCCAGCTGCTCCCACTATGATCCCAGTTGCCCCCTTCACCCCTACTCTGGTTCCAGTCACTCCCAGAATGATCCCAATCCCTCCCAGCCACTCCCAGTATATCCCAGTTGCCTCCAGCATGCTCCCAGTCAGTCCCAGTATGATCCCAGTCTCTTCTAGTAGGATCCAAGTTACTCCCTGCATGGTCCCAATTGCTCCCAGTCACTGTAATTCCAGTCCCTCACAGTCCCTCCCAGTATGACTCCAGTAGGATCCCAGTGACACCCATTATGGTGGCAGTCACAGCCAGGATGAACCCAGACATTCCCTGTCACTCCCAGTATAAAGCCATTTGCCCCCAGCAGGGTCCCACTTGCTCCCACTCACCCACTACAGTTCCAGTCCCTCCCAGTAGGATCCCTGTCACTCCCAGTCTCTCCCAGTCGACCTCAGCCTGCTCCCAGTTACTCCCAGTATGCTCCCCGTCAGTCCCAGTATGATCCCAGTCACTCCTGGTCTCTCCCAGTATATCCCAGTTGCCCCCAGTGTGGTCCCACTCACTCCCAGTTGCTCCCAGTAGCTTCCAGTATGATCCCAGTTGCTCAGCCACTCTCAGTCATCCACAGTGTGGTCCTAGTCACTCCCAGTATGATTCCAGTCACCTCCAGTATATTCCAGTTGGGCCAACATGGTCCCAACTGCCCTCAGAATGCTCCCAGTCACTCCCAGTATGACCCCAGCCACCTTCACTGTGGGCTCAGTTGCACCCAAGATGGTTCCAGTTGTGCCCAGCATGGTCCCAGTTGCTCCCAGTGGGATCCTAAGAGCTCCCAGTTGCCCCTAGCATAGAACCAGCTGCTCCCAGTATGATCCTAGTCTGATCCCAGTATGAGTCCAGTCACCTCCACTATGATCCCAGGAACTTCCAGACACTTCCAGTATAAAGCCAGTTTGATCCCACTCATCCCCAGTATGGCTGCAGTCCCTCCCACACACTCCCAGTATTATTGCAGTCACTCCCGGTATGATCCCAGTACGACCCCAGTAGGGGCCCAGGTGCTCCCAGTATGATCCCAGTTGCCACAGTTCTGGTTATTGGGGGGCAGCTTCCCAGTTCTCCCCAGTCCCGGTTATTGGGGGGCACTGGGGGGGTTAATTGGAGGATCCCAAGGGGTGGAGCCGAGTTTGGGGGGCAGAGCTGGCCCTGAGATGGATCAGGAATGGGGACCCCGCTGTGTTCCCCCCGTGTCACCCCGCTCTGGGGGGCTTTGGGAGGGCACCTGCCCCTCAATAGGCACCCAGCTCACCCCAAAAGGTGCTGGGAGCCCCCAAAACCTCCCCAAAGCCTCTCAAGGACCCCCAAACACACTCAGAGTCCACCCAGGACCCCACCCAACCCCTTTTCTGGGGGGGCTTCTCTGGGCACTGGTGGTGCTGGGAGCCCCCCCGGCTGTGGGCAAGGAGCTCTCGGGTGAGCGGGGGGTGGGAAGGGGGAGGTCGGTGGGAAAAGGGGGGTCAGAGGGGATAAAAGGGGTGGTGAGACCCCAAACTGAGTGGGAGGGGAGTGGGACCCCCCAAAAGTAGAGGGGGAGGGGGACTGAGGTTAATGGGAAATGGGTGGAGAGGTGAGAAGAGTGGGGAAAGGGCAGAGTGGGACCCCTAAACTGAGCATGAGGGGGCTGGGGAGTGGGGGGATGATGTAGAAGGGGTGTGGAAAAATGTCGGGATTGGGACCACAAAACTGATCTTGGAGGGGCTGGGGATTGAAGGGACAATGGAAAAGTGGAAGGAAAAGGGAGAACGGTGGAAAACGGGGGTGGTCTGGAAGGTCCAATGATCCTATGGAGGTCTTTGGGCCCAAAAGTGCTGGGAAAGCGGGGTGCCCCCTGAGCTCCCAACTGACTGTGGGGTGCTGGGGCTGCTGGATCCAATCTCAGCCTTGTGTTATGCCAACACTTTCAGTTTAGAGAAATTACAGAGGTGGGACTGAACCACTTTTGTCCCCCAGGTTTTAATAATAGTAAATCAAATCTATTGATAGAAATAAACTATTTAGGGTTACAAATCATCAGACAAAAGCTCTTCATCAAATTTATGTACTCCAAATAGAAACACTAAAACTACCAGTAGTAATGGCCAGTCTTCGTGAGCGAAGATCCGGGGAAGGTCTTTCCACCTTCCAGCCTGCGCATTGGATTTTTTAGGTGAGACACAGTGTGCGCGGAACTGAGCCCACCCTTTAATCCTAAGGTTCATCTGCCGGGGCCAAGCAACCTTGGACGGTGGCAGCGAGGTCCTTAGGACTTAGGTGGATTGCCTTTTAAGGGCTAACGAGCCCCACCTGCCCGGGAGTGGCCCTGACCGGGAATCGAACCCGGGTCTCCGCGGTGATAGCGCGGCGCCTTTACCCCTAGACCACCAGGGGCTCCACCAGTAGTAAAAGGATAAGACAGGACAGTGCTCTACCCTAAAGCAATTGTTGAACCAATTCTACTTATGCTGGCACCAAAGAAAGAATTAGGAATTAGAGAGGGATGGAATTTCCCCAGACCAACACTCATGGGAAGATCTCTGCTTTCAACCTCCAGCACTGACCTTGGGGGGTCCCCAGCCAAGGCAGGAATCTCCACACACCCCCCAAGAAGGGTTCTGTTGGCACAACCTGCCCCTGGCGAAGGGGACTGTCCCTTTCTGGTAGAAAGGGATGGACTGACAGTCCCTGGACTCCAGGGGTTGCCTCACCATCAGGGGGGTCATCTGGGGTGGGAGCAGCGGCCAAAGCTCTTCCCGCAGTCAGGGCACTCGTGGGGTTTCCCTTAGCAGTGGGTCTGTTGGTGTCTGGTCAAGTGGGAGCTGTTGGTGAAGCTCTTCCCACACTCCCCACACTTGTAGGGCCTCTCCCCGGTGTGGATGTGCCGGTGGATGACGAGAGTGGAGTTCAGGTTGAAGCTCTTCCCGCAGTCGGTGCAGTGGAAGGGCCTCTCCTCTTTGTGTATCCGCTCATGGACGAGGAGAGTTGAGCTGCGCTGAAAGCTCTTCCCACATTCCAAGCACTTGTAGGGCCGTTCCCCGGTGTGGATGAGCTGGTGCTTGCAGAGGTTGGAGCTGTTCCTGAAGCTCTTCCCACATTCCCTACAAGTGTAGGGCCGTTCCCCAGTGTGGATGTGCTGGTGCCTGAGGAGTCTGGAGTTGTCCCTGAAGCTCTTCCCACATTCCCTACAAGTGTAGGGCCGTTCCCCAGTGTGGATGTGCTGGTGCCTGAGGAGTCTGGAGTTGTCCCTGAAGCTCTTCCCACATTCCCTACAAGTGTAGGGCCGTTCCCCAGTGTGGATGTGCTGGTGCCTGAGGAGGTGGTTGCTCTGCCTGAAGCTCTTCCCACATTCCAAGCACCTGAAGGGCTTCTCCCTGCTGGGAGGCTGCTCAGGGACCACCAGCTCGGAGCTCCGGCTCAAGCTCCGGCCGCCTTCCCGGCACAGGACGGGTCTTTCCTCCTCAGAGCTCCCTGGGCTGGCTTTGCAGCCCCTCCTCCGGGGGCATCTCCGGGCCTTTTCCTCCCCGCTGCCTTCCTGCGCCGGGGAGCCCTTCAAAACGGCCTCTCCCACCAGGCTCTGCCGGGGGGATTTGTCCTCCGTGCTCTCCGTCCTCAGCTCAGGTCCTGGGGCAGGAAGGAAGAAGGACAGGATTTGCCTCCGGCCCAGAGGGAGGGCCAAGGACATCCCCCCAATTCTGGCCCCTACAGGCACCATAAGACAGGGCCAAAGGGGCACTGACTTCCTCCTCACCTGCCTGGGGGGCCTGCGGCAGTTTCCTCTTCCTCTCAGCAGCCTCCTCCATCTGCCCAAACTTTGGGAAGGACAAATCCTGCTGGGGGGAAAACAAGGGCTGAGTGCGTTGGTTTGGGGGTTCCTCCTGGCCATGTCCATCTCCAGAACTCACACAGCATCCTGGGACCATAGAAACCTCCAAAACACTGAGATTCAGCCGAAGAAATCCTAGCCAGGAGCTCCTCCTCTCTGGCCTCTACACTTCGGGATTCTGGAGGTCCCCCCTGTCCGGGCTGCTGAGAGTCCCGTGTGTATTTGAGGTCTCCCCTCTACGGGGTCATAGAATCATAGAATCATAGAATAGATTGGGTTGGAAAAGACCTCCAAGATCATCAAGTCCAACCCCTGATCCAACTCTAATTACTATATCACGGCACTAAGGGCCATATTCAATCTCTTTTTAAAAACTTCCAGGGATGGTGAATCCACCACCTCTCTGGGCAGGCCGTTCCAATGCCTGATCACCCTCTCTGTAAAGAATTTCTTCCTAACGTCTAACCTAAACTTCCCCTGGCAGAGCTTGAGCCCATGTCCCCTTGTCATGTTGTTGGTTGCCTGGGAGAAGAGACCAACCCCCACCTGGCTATAACTTCCCTTCAGGTAGTTGAAGAGAGTGATGAGGTCACCTCTAAGCCTTCTCTTCTCTAGACTAAACAATCCCAGCTCCCTCAGCCTCTCCTTAAAGGACTTGTGCTCAAGTCCCTTCACCAACCTGGTTGCTCTTCTCTGGACCCGCTCCAGCACCTCAATATCCTTCCTGAACTGAGGGGCCCAGAGCTGAACACAATACTCAAGGTGCGGCCTCACCAGCGCAGAGTACAGGGAAGGATCACTTCCCTGCTCCTGCTGGCCACACTGTTCTTGATGCAGGCCAGGATGCCATTGGCCTTCTTGGCCACCTGGGCACACTGCTGGCTCATGTTCAGCTTCCTGTCAATCAGCACCCCCAGGTCCCTTTCCACCTGGCTGCTCTCCAGCCACTCTGTGCCCAGCCTGTAGCGCTGCAGGGGTTGTTGTGGCCAAAGTGCAGGACCCGGCACTTGGCCTTGTTGAACTTCATCCCATTGGAGTCAGCCCATCTCTCCAGTCTATCCAGGTCCCTCTGCAGAGCCCTCCTGCCTTCTGGTAGGTTGACACTCCCTCCCAACTTGGTGTCATCAGCAAATTTGCTGATGATGGACTCAATCCCCTCATCTAGGTCATCGATAAAGATGTTAAACAGGACTGGGCCCAGCACTGATCCCTGGGGGACACCACTGGTGACCGGCCGCCAGCTGGATGCAGCCCCGTTCACCAGCACTCTCTGGGCCCGGCCCTCCAGCCAGTTCTTAACCCAGCACAGAGTGCCCTGTCCAAGCCATGAGCTGCCAGCTTTCCAGGAGTATATTATGGGAGACAGTGTCAAAGGCTTTGCTGAAGTCCAGATAGACCACATCCACAGCCTTCCCCTCATCCACCAGGTGAGTCACCTGATCGTAAAAGGAGATCAGGTTGGTCAAACAGGATCTGCCTCTCCTAAACCCGTGCTGGCTGGGTCTGATCCCTTGTCCATCCTGTAGCTGCTGTGTGATTGCACACAGGATGATCTGCTCCATAACTCTGCCAGGCACCGAGGTCAGGCTGACAGGCCTGTAGTTACCAGGGTCAGCCTTGCAGCCTTTTTATGGATTGGGGTGATATTTGCCAACTTCCAATCATGTGGGACCTCCCAGTGAGCCAGGACTGTTGGAAGATAATGGAGAGCGGCTTGGCAAGCTCTTCTGCCAGCTCCTTCATTACCCTAGGATGGATCCCATCTGGTCCCATAGACTTGTGAGGATCCAGGTGGCTCAGTAAGTCACTAACTATTTCCTCCTGGAATACAGGGGGCTATTTGGTTTCCTCTCTCTGTCTACCAGCTCCAGAGGCCAGTTGCCTTGAGGGCCACCTGTCTTACTGGTAAAAACTGAGGCAAAGTAGGTGTTAAGTACCTCAGCCTTCTCCTCATCTCTATTAACTATGTTTCCCTCCGAGTCCATCAAAGAATGGAGGTTTTCTTTGCCCCTCCTTTTGTTATTAATGTATTTATAGAAGGACTTTTTGTTATCCCTAACAGAAGTGGCCAATTTAACTTCAAATTGCGCTTTTGTATCCTGATTTTCTTTCTGCATGATCTAGCTGTCTTCCTGAATTCTTCGTAAGTAGCCAGCCCTCTCTTCCATAGTCGATAAACTCTCTTTTTATCCCTGATTTCCTTCAGAATCTCCCTGTTTAACCAGGCTGGTTGTCTTCCCCACCAGCTTGCCTTTCGGCACACCGGTATGGCCTGTTCCTGTGCACTCAAAACTTCCTGTTTGAAGCACATCCATCCCTCCTGGACTCCCTTGTTTTCAAGGGTTGTTTCCCAGGGTATGCTCTGGACTAGACTTCTGAATAGGTCAAAATCTGCCCTCCGGAAGTCCAGCGTAGAGGTTTTATTGTTGTTTCTCCTTGAATCTCTGAGTATTGAAAATTCTATTATTTCATGATCACTATTTCCTAGGCGGCCTTCAACCACTACATCTCCCACCAGCTCCTCTCTGTTTGTAAACAGCAGGTCTAGCGGGGTCTTACCCCTGGTAGGTTCATTTACCAGTTGATGAAGGAGATTGTCCTCTATACACTCCAGGAAATTCCTAGACTGCCTCTTCTCTGCAGTATTGAGCTCCCAGCAGATATCTGGCAGGTTAAAGTCACCTACAAGGACAAGGGCTGACAATTTCGAGACATCCGCCAGTTGCTTGTAGAATAATTCATCCCCTTCATCATCCTGGTAGGGTGGTCTGTAACAGACACCCATGATGATGTCAGTCTTGTTGGTCTTCCCCCTGATTTTGGTCCACAGGCACTCAACCTTATCATTGCTGACCTCAAGTTCGACAGGGTCCAGAGAGTCTCTAACATATAAAGCCACCCCTCAACCTCTCCTCCCCTGCCTGTTCTTCCTGAAGAGCTTGTAGCCTTCCATAGCAGCACTCCAGACATGCGAGTCATCCCACCATGTTTCTGTGATGGCGACTACATCATAGCCTTCCTGCTGCACAATTGCCTCCAGCTCCTCTTGTTTGTTGCCCATACTGCATGCATTAGTGTACATGCACTTCAGGTGGGCTGTTGATTTAATTCTTAACTCAGGCTTTCCATCCTTAGGCTGATCACTGGAGAGCCCGGTTTCAACCCCTTCCCCCTTCAAACCTAGTTTAAAGCCCTCCTAATCAGCCTCGCTAACTTATGGGCTACAGTCCTCTTATTCTTCTGAGAAAGATGAATCCCATCTGATTTTAAGAGACTAGGTACCATGGAGTTTGCCCCATGGTCAAAGAAACCAAAATTTTGATGGTGGCACCAATTCTTTAGCCATCTGTTGAGGAGTTGGGCTTTTTTACTCCTCTCTTTATTTAACTCCTCATCCATCCCAGATAGTGCAGGAACTGAGGCAAATATCACCTGTGCTCCTGTCACCTGAACTGACCGACCCAGTGCTTTAAAGTCTTTTTTAATTATCTTGGCACTTCTTCGATTAATGTCCTCACTGCCAGCCTGGACTACCACCAGAGGATAATAGTCTGAGGGCTGAATTAACTCAGGAAGTCTCCTACTAATATCCCTCACCCTGGCCCCAGGAAGGCAGCATACTTCTCTCTGGGATGGGTCTAGGCGACATATAGGGCCCTCAGTTCCCCTCAAAAGGGAGTCACCGACTACAACTACCCTTCTTTTTTTTTTTTTTCCCTGCCCTCTCCAGGCTGCTGGGGGTCCCAGGAATCCAAGGCTCCCTCATCTCCCAACTTCAGGGTTCTGGGGGACATCCTTCTCCAGTGCCCCCCTTTTTCAGGGTTCAGGCGTCCCTGCTGCTGGAAATCAGCACTTTGGAGCCTCATCCCATTTTTCCTCCTACTCTTCCCTATTATTATTGGGATCCCCCTGCACCCCTTTTTCCCAGGCACTGGGACCCCCTGCCAGGCCATTCCCAGTTTTCCAGACCCCCCTTTCTTTGATTCCAGGACCCCCTGCCTCCCCTTTCCTGGTCATCCCACCTCTCCCAGCCCTTGGATCCCCCTTTTCCTTAGCCCCCATTCCCAGCCATCCCAGGTCACCTCACCCCCAACCCCCCTTTCCTTCCCCCAGCACCCCCTGCAGCCCCTTCCCAGCTCTCCCAGCTCTCCCAGTTCCCCCTTTCCTTCACCTTGGGACCACCCCAGCCCCCAAATCTCTGGGTCTCCCCAGTTCCCCACTCCCAGTGCTTCCTGCAGAGGGTCCTGGGGGGTCCCAGGGACTCCCTGAACTCCCCATTCCTGTGCACTGAGACCCCCCTGCAGCCCTTATCTGGGACCAGGACCCCCTGCAACCCCTTCCCCCGCCATCCCACCTCTCCCAGACCCCACACTCCCTTTGCCTTCACCCTGGCACCCCCCGGAACCCCAGTCCCACCTCTCCCAGTCCTCAACCCCCCTTTCCTCAACACCCAGGACTCCCTGAACCCCCTGCTGGGATATCTCGGGTCTCCCCACCCAATGAACCACCTTTCCCTGACACTGGAGGCCCCTGGACCTCCCTTTGCTGGGCACAGGGACCCTCTAGACCCAGTCTAGTGCTACTCCCTACATTTCCCCTCTTTCCTTAACTCTGGGACTCCCCTTGAGCCCCCATTCCTGGCCACAGGAACCCCCAGCACCCCATTTTCCAGCTCTGGGACACCCTTACATCCCCTAATCCTGCAGCAATAACCTCCTGCACCCCCTTTCCCAGACACCCCACCTTTTCCAGCCCCCAGGTCCCCTTTAACCTTGACCCAGGGACCCCCTGGGCT